AGCTGTCTTTGTCTTTCTATGTGGTAAACATGTTTGAAAGTTATGGGTGGGAGGAGGAGCTGAGTAGAGGTAGAGAAAGCAGCACTGATAAAGCACTTTCGAAAGTCTCATTTTCGTAAAAGACCAGGTGAACCACTGTATGTTTATCTGGAGGAGCTGGGCTGAGGATTTACGTTGGGATTAGGACTGGGTATTTGAGTCGGAGAACTTGTCACAGAGGAAAAGTGGCAGCAGGGTGCTACGGGATTTGTTGCAGAATTGTTTGCAGCTACCAGTTGGTGATGTGGCAGGACATATAAATAGGTCATGGCTTAAAGCTTGCCCATCTCAAAAAGGCTGCTTTGCTGATAAGAGGAGGGGTATGGGGGGGACTCTGTGTGTGTGTGTGTGTCTTCTGTCAACGCCTTGCTGTGACAGTGAAGTGCCACTTAGCCAGGACAAGCTACTCTGCCGAGTGCTGACTTATGCCTGGTGCAACTTCCACCAGGATGCCTGGCGAGGTTTCTGTCCGGTTCCTCCCGCCTTGAGAGCTGAAAGGCTTTGTGACAACTCAGGTCCATTTCAAAGTTAATCTTAACAAGTGAGGCTATAAACTAGCACTGACACGTTTCCCTTAAAATGCTTAACTGTAGCCTTTTTGTGGCTGAATTGCTTAAGAAGCAGCATCTGAGCCACCCATTCTCCAGCAGCGGGGCCAGGCAGCTGGTGGTAGCAATGGTGCCAGCTGTCCCCAGCACACTATTTCGGCTCATGAGTCAGATCTCCACAACTTCTAGTCATTTTGTGCTTTGATATAAAATACAGAGCCATTCATTTGTCAGATTATTCATCTTTCTCTTGGAAGTGGATTTTTTTTCTTTTTTTTTTTTTTTTTTTTCCCCCTCCAAAGGTTATTCACCCTGGCACCTCCATGTCATAGCAGCTTGTCCAAAACAAATCTGTTTTCTCAATCTCACGCTGTAGCCCAGTAGCTTGTAATGAGCCTGGAGTGTTCTTCCTGAAGTGCAGGAATACGCTCACTGGTTAAGCAAACCAGGCAGATCTAGTTAGCCACGGAGCAGGGAAATCTGCTTCTCCGACAGTCGGTTACAAGAAAACAGAGGCAGGAGGCCAGCTTTGATGTTTTGGGCTTTGTCTGGATAAACTGCACAGCAGTGCCTTCAGAACTGAAATGTGTCGGCAGCTTGCCTTGCTCGTCTTAAATAACTTAATTGTTCTCCCAAAGACGACTTTGGGAGATAAGTCATGCTTCTCCAGTTGTGAAACACTGAACAAAAAAATAAATCTGTTGACTGAAATTTCGTTCCCTGTGCAAGTTTACTGACTCAACGAAGTACATCACTCAACTGGAGCAGAGCTGGACCACTGCAGAAAAGGTCTATTTGATAATCAGATTAATTTTAATTGGATGTTCTTTCCCCCTAGATGTAAGAAAGCTTTTCTTCTGACTGGATATGGGTCAGGATGAGACGAATTCAGCTAATTCTTTGAGACTGAAAACACTGGTAGTGCAATGTTGGGGGTTTCTTTTTGCTTTACTGTCCTAGCACAGCAAGAAAGTGCAATGAATCCATTTGCTATCGGTTCATCTGCTGGCAAAAAGAGAGGCTTCTTCACTGGGTCATAGAATTAATGATGAATTTGGGTTGTTTATCAAGAAAGGCACTTGGAAAAATTTTTTGCTGCTTTAATTGGTGTTTCCTATCTGTATTTTTAAGGGAAGGTAATAATTGTACAACTGGAAAGCTTAGTTTGCTTTTGGGTGCAGATTTCAGTGTGTTGAAGTTGGTTTTGTGTTCTCCTTCACACAGGGAAGGAAATGTGTAAATTGTATTAGATTCTTGCCTACGTAAATTAGGCTGTTCATCCCAGCAAGCGGAACACTGAAAGTCTCAGTCACTGACTCTCTCCCCTGTTCTCTCTTCCCTTCCCCAAATATCCCCTCTCCCCATGGGTCTAGGAGGGAACCACAGTGGGAGCAGTGAATCTGGACTATCGAGGTCCTCCAGAGGGCTTTAAAATTTGAGGCCAATTCTGGCTCTGTCTGGCTCTGAGGATCCTCCTGGCAAAGCCCTGCGCGTGCCGGAGCGGGTCTGCCAAGGCTCCAGCAGATGTGCCGTGTCCAGCTTTCCCTCCCTGAGGGCCCCTGAGCCGTTGACCCAATTCTCTGGGGCATTAGATGGATTTGGAGGGGAGGCAGAAGGGAGAGGGCAGCTCCACAGAGGAGGGTGGAGGAGAACAGCCCTCTTGACGAGCCTGCAGCATTGCCCCATGCCACAGCAGAGCCACCTCCCAGCATTGATGCTCAGCTCCCAGCACAGCCCGGCGAGCGGTACTGGTACCCATCTGGAAGCGGATGAGGTGCAGGGATGAGCAGGCTCAAAGGGGAAAGGTGCTAAAAACACTCCTAAATCCTGGAAATCCTATGCCTCGTTAAAATGGCACTTACGCCCGCTTCACTTTATAACTCATCCCTGTCAACACAGCTAAGATCATCAGCCCAGTGCTTCCACATAAATACCCGCTGTCTCCCTGGAAGGTCAAGGGGCCTTGGCCGCAGCTCCTCTCCTGCCTTCCTGTTTTGACTGAGGGAGGAGAGGGCTTGGAGGGAAGGTTGTAGCAACCGCACTGTACACAGGCGCTGCTTCTGAAACATAAGATTGGGCAGCGCACTCAAGAATAGCACTGGGTGAGGGTTTTTGGCAAGCTGCGACTTTGCTAAAAATGAGGTTCTGAGGTAGCCAAATCCATTCATAAATTGGAAGCAGTTTTGTGGAATATTTTCAGGCAAAACAAATGGCAAAGCATTTCATTTTGGGTACTGGCAGCACAAGCTGAGGAATCAAAGGATTATTAAAGCAGTTGGAGGTAGCAGTTGCCTTTCCCCGAATAGCCTGCTGGTGAGGGAATCCACACAGGCGGCGGGAAACCAGATTCAGTCCTCCTCTCTGCCTCCTGGGATTAAATTCATATCGCACAGCCCAGGGAAATAACGTGATCGTGGGGGTATGAGATAGCTAGAGAGAAGCAAGAAGAAACACGTACAGGCTGGAGCGGGAGGAGCGCCCTCCCTGCAGGAAAGCACGCTGCCCACCAGCCCCATGGCTTTGGATGCTGAAGAAATCTGTATGGCATCCAGCCAGGAGGGAGAGAGACCCGTTTCCCCAAATCCTTAACTACCACAAAGTAACCCTTGTGAGTGCCCAGACAGTCTGGGTTTTGTTTAAGAAGAAATTGCTGGTTTGAATCAGGGAGAGGAAAAGTTCATCCAGGGCTCCCGTATCCAATCTGAGTGACCAAGTAAATAAAAAAATCTGTTTTGGATAAGTAAAAACACTGTTTTGGCACCCTGAATTACTTTTTACACCCAAGCTAGAAGCTGAACAGAGTAACTTTTCGTTGTATGGGCTGAGCAGCCCCTCGTGCTCTCGTAGGACCTTTTATGCCAAAAAGTTCCTCGCACACGGATGTGCGCGCACAAACTATTTCAATCGCTCTTAGCAGTGCAGGCTGCATCTCTGCTGCAGGCTGCCTGCCTTTGGAGCTACCCTAGGCTACCTTTAAGTCAAAAGAGTAAATAAGTGACGTGTTCCCATGATGCGATCTGGATCTCTGAGCTGCAGTAAGTGGGGGATTACACACAATTTAATTCCCTCTGTTTTCCTCCTGGCCATCACCGGCTTCTGAAACATGATCGCCTGGAGACAGCAGTGATTTCAGGTGACTTGTAGAGAAAGTCACCTGGCCTGACACAAAGCTCGTGTATTGAAAGTCCCAGGAAGGAGTGACACCTGAGATCTGTGGAGACAGGGTTGAAGCTTAAAGGCTTCTACTTCTTGATATCTTTCCTACAAATTCTCCTTCTCTGACTCAAGACAACTGTCTTCCTGAGGTAAACCTCCCACTCAGCTTCTAGATATTTTTCTTGAAGGAGATGAGAGGCGGTATCAAGAGCAGGAACTGCCCTAACATGCAAGTGGCCTTACAGTCTTAGCTTACTTCCCATGACATGCTATTAAAATAAATATATAAAGAAAACACCACAGTCCTTTTAATGTGAACAATTACACATAAATATATGTTTGAATTCAGCAAGTTCCAAGTCTGAAGTTAGCTTTGGAATGAAGTAGTCATCATGAACCTACATGAAATCACCACAGATGTAGGACAGGGAAATATTTTGCCTTTTTCTTGCCTAAAAAAGTCTATTGGGAACCTGATTTGAACAGAGCCGGAGGGAGTCAGCTGGGATATTTGGCTACGGAGCCTCATATTTATGCCCTGAACTTAAGAAGCAAAGAAAATTCCCAAAACAAAATTGTTTTTTTTTAAAGTTGTTGGGCCATATCCCCTTACCAGCATTTCCAAAGGGCGTTGTGCCCCTTTACAGCCCCTTTTCAGTAACCACCACTGGCTCTCTCAAGCCGTTTGCTTTTTGAGCAGCGGTATTACCTCATGCGATACTCATTTTTCTTGTCTTCAGGGAGCGCTTTGGAGCGGCGGAGCCATGGCTGGCTGACACACAGCAACACGCGGTCTTTCAGGGCTGGGTTATCTGAGATGTTTCAGAGGGTGGCCTTATGTTCCCTTCGTCTCTGAGGATATCCTAAAACCATACTCCCAAACTGAGACCTGTGCACTTGAGGCAAGGGCAGAAGGGACGAAGATATGTTATTGCAGCCCAGGAAGAGAAGCATGCCTGATCTGCTACTCGTCCTGGAGGGCTCCTGGCCTGCTTGTTAGTAAACTTTTAGCCTGTCCTTCATGCTGAACGATCTTTATCCTGGAACCGTGTATCTGTAGTCAGATCACTCACTGACAAAGTTGTGACCCAGTTAGTTTCACACATGGAGGACTAAACCATACTCAGACGATTCAGCTCGCACAGACTGCAGGTGGGATGGATGACTTACCTTTGGTGGCCGGTATCCTGGTGTTCAGTGATGCCCTTATTGCTTGATCTCCCAGATTTTACTCCTTGTTCCTCGACTAATTCACAGTTACTGGCAAGACCCAGTTGCCAAGAGCGGATAAAGGCAGGATTTCTGGTTATTTGATCCCCAGATGCCTTGAGGAGGTGCAGTACCAGGCATCAGCTTTTAGCAGGCAGCAGAGCAATGTGGCTCTCGGGCAGGAGCACGGCTGCTCGCTGGAAACACGATCAAAAGCACCGTGAGTAAGGAGATACAGGAGAAGGAGTCTGCGTGAGGATTCAAGAAACTTCAGCAGCACTGGGCTGTATTATTGTCTTAATCCATCCCTGCTGTTTGCTACAGAGATGGCAAATGTGCCAGAGGGTGAGGGATGAGCAGATGCACACTTAAGGTGCTGCTTTCACAGATGGGACTTCTCATAGCAAATAGGTGAGAGTACAGGGTAGAAGGCAGCACTAAATCAAAAGGGTCTCAGACAAATTCTGCTTTCATCAATGACTTTTACTAAAACATGCATGATGCATTTTAAAGTTCCCTTTCATTTATGCTTTTATGGCATATTTACCCCCTACAAAAAGTAGAATTTGTTTCTCTTACATTCACCTTTTCTGTTCTACCACTGGAACAGTCTTTCTACATTTCTGTGCCTTCAACATTTTGTCGTCTTGGTCTTCAGCCATGACCTCTCCTCCCCTGCCTGCAACCACCTCTTGACGCCTCAATTCCTGCTAGCTCCCTGTAATCTCATGTTATACAATGAAACATTTTTGGCTTGCATAAATGCAAGATTGCATCTTTATCTCATTAAGAAAGGAAAATTAAGTCATCTAATTAGAAAAAACAGGTAATCAGAAAAGGTAGCAGCTTTTTTTCTGAAATGTGGCAGGCTCAAAACCTCATGGCTTTTGTGTAAGAACCATACTTTAACCATTAAAGTTGGATTTTCAAGTTGGATTTGACAAAATGACTTATCACTCTGTCAAGCTGGAGGAAAGATTCTTGCATGCAACTTTCTTGAGGGCACAAGCTTTGTTCTTATGACTTTGATTTGCACAAAACACATGGCTCTTTTTACCTCTGTGTATCTTCTCTGCTGAAATCTCTGTGGTTCTTCATTTCTATGAATCCTGAAGTTTAATAGAAAACAAATTGATAGTATGACTCATCTCTACTTCGTGCCAATGGCTTCTGTGGTGTTTCCAGCTATGAATACAATTAGTGTCTAATCATGTGTGGCAGATTAAAAGCTGCATTTACTGAAATGGTCAACACATAAAATTCCTGATGAGGATGGGCCCAGCCTTGTAGATGAGGGTGAATGAGAGACTAGCTTTCTAGCTACAAAGTTCATCAATTTACAGAGGACTTCTGAGCCAAATAGCTACAAAAGTGCTAGTCCTGGAAAAGGGTGGATTTTTTAGTTTGCTCAGAAGAGTAGACTGTGCTCAGATGACTCCCCCTGCCCGGACCTGAGCATGCCTTAAACCATGAGCCTTCAAAAAACCTCTTCTTAAAAAGATAGTACCTCTAACCTACGCTAACATTTCAGCTGCTACATGAAAACATTTTCAGACTGCTCCAGGACCAAGACACATATTCCCCTGCAGAACGGTGGACTTATACTAATGAAACCGTTGACAGCCGGATAATCGCCTGGCCCCAGCGCAGTGATGCCTGCCTAATCCAAGCAGAGGGGCTGGCTCTTACAGCCAACCTGGCACCGCATCACTTGGCTCCCAAATGTGGTACCGACACCGCAAGAGCGCTCCAGAGGAAAACACTCCCAGAGCAAGGTGATATTTAGGAGATGACAACTTTGTCTGGGAGTCGGCATGGCTTTCGGATGGTGAATATCAGATGCCAACGTCACCCACTGAGCTACGCGTCTGGCTGTGACATCGGGTGGAATTGCATTCAACCAGCCCAGATCCAAAATTAATAGAAGGGTAATCCAGATAAGCTTTTAGGAAAGTAGCACTACTCAAGACCAGCTATAGGGATTCTTGTTTGAAAAGTAAGCAAACAGAAAGCAGACCTTTTTCATTTTACAGCTGCGTACTGCAGTGACAAGCACTAGCTGTTTCAATATACCCCTCTTCCAAAAATGACAAAGCTAGCTGTTACCAGTGCAATAATGTCAAGACCAAATATTAACACAAAAAAAATTTAATTTTTTCACTTTTCCTGTGGCTTTCTAAACATGCTAGATTTTTAACCCTGCTCAAGAGCCATAGGGAAGTCTGGCCTATGTAAATAAAAGTTATGAAGATTGTTTTACAAAAGATGAGACAGGGAATCACTGGCATTGTCAAAGAGGGGAAAAAACTGAACCCCTATGAGTGAGTAATCTAAATTAACACAACTGAAAGATATGCTATGCTTTTTGGCAAGAACATTTAGATCCCAATTTTCCAGACAAACCTTCATTTTCTAAAACATCCCTGATTGGCTCCATACGTTAAATATGGCTGTGCATTCCCATGTGTCCCTGATTCCCCGCAGTTCTCTGAAGAACAGCATAAGCATGTTCTTACAGCTCATGCGGGAAGCTAACATCTGGGTTGTGTCTTCGGTTGACCTAGGAGGCCACATTTGTCAAAACTTGAAAATGCTGTGCAGAAAATGCCTCTCTAGGCTTCATCAAAGCCAACTTTTGTTGGTTCAGCTAACTAGGTGGTGGAATTCCCCAAGTTTTACATCTGCCTTTGCAAACACTTCTTCGAACTGGCGCCAGAAACCTCTCCCCTTTAACTCTAGGGAATGAAGCAGAAGAACTACTGGCAACCTTTTCTTTCTCCTCTGTTATTGCACAAGCTGGTGCTTTATCTTCCCCTTGTACCTCCTGCATCCCTGGGATCACATTTCTTGTCTGAAGGGTATTTTCATAGCATCCACCCTTCCAGTTAGATCTTCACTTTCCAGGGCTGGCCAGCTGGCTATTTTGTCCTCCAGCTCTTCAGGAGACTGTCCCAGTCCACCCAGCTGGCACCGTGAGCATGGGGCGCTGGTGTGCACATCATTTGCTTGGTTTGCTTTAATGCTCTAGCTGCCGAGACAGAGGCATGGCAGCCCTTTAACTTAGGCTTGCATTAAGTGAACTTGCATCAAGTGAAAAGTTGTGGCAATCCTAAAACTGAGGATTCTGCAATCAAGTGGTAAAAATAACTCCTGCAGCCCCTGCCAGCTACAATAATAAGGCTTTCCTGAACACAGCTTTGGCTTAATCCTAGAATAACAATGTCATAGTAATTCTAGAAATGATAAATCTGCAGTTATGCAATCTAATTTCTGTCATATGGGCAATCAAACCTCACGCTTCAAGCCACTGAGAGCACATCAGGCTGGAGGAGAAAGGCACCCCCTGTCCACGCTCATTCACAGCGTGGTGCGAGGCAGCAAGCATCACCATTCCCCTCATCTTCTCTGGGCGCATTGGCTGTCCCTCACTTTCTCTAAGGCACCGCACTGCGTGACACAGAGCAACGCTCTGGGCCGGCACAGCAACTCATGGCTCTCAGCAGTGCTCCCTGCCTCCCTTCTCAGCTCTACCTGCTTTTGCAGAGATCCCTTCGCTGGGTTTTGCTTCCTGGATGGTGGCTGCCAATGCTTCCGGGGGATGAAAGCCAGATTTTCCTGTGTACGAGAGAGGAGGATGTGCTGGCGGTTGCATTTTCCAAGAAAGAGGTGTACAGTACAGCTTCTCCTTTACAAGATTAAACAATTCTAAGAATGTACCCTTGTGTGGCTCATATCCTCTGGCTTTGTAAACTCAACCTGTGCTTTCCTGTAATGCCTTCAGTACACATGTTTTCTATGCTCTGTTCCTAACATCTTAAGCCAGTCCTCTTTGCCAGTTTGTCCAGAAAACAGGCAAATGGAAATAAGCAATTGGGCTTCTAGAAACTTGCATAAGAATCTGTGTGTGAGTGCCGAGGTCGAGCAAAGGAGGCTCTGAGCCCAGGAATGTACCTACTTTCTCCTTCCTGTATTTAGCTGACTAAGATTCCTAAACAGAGGCTCCACATCTTAAATTATAGGTTAGGACTGGAGCACTTAGCCCACAGTTTGGATCTCTCATGTAATTCAGCTGCAGCTACATTCAGATTTTTTCCAGGAGATGGCCCTGTCTCTCCCAACACCTCAAGCTCTTCCTCTGAGGAACGCTATTCCCAGCTGAGGGACTGGATACCGTGTCACTAACCACGGTGAGGTTCTCAGGACTAAGGTGAACGGCTCCTTCCCTGAAGCGCTGCTTCCTCAGCTCTCACAAGCTGCCCAGACTGGTGAGGCTCTCTAAAGGTGCACACATGAAACAAGGCAGAGCAGAATATGAGAACCTAAGTCAGACTCTTTTCCTTTACTGTATGCACTGAACAAAGAATAAATAACAATAGTGATGTCGATACATTTATAAAAGCGGTGCTGATGGTAGTTGTTCATGTGGTTTGCAAGATCATGATCTGCCACTAAAGTGCCCTGTTCAGTTTGTCTTTGGAGGTAACAAGAATTCCTCTTTATCAGCTGGAAGGCTGATGGAAATTGCTGACCAGAAAAGGATGCTACAGAAAAAGCAAAAGGATTGGTGGGCAGCTGAAATGCAACACCAAATAGCAGTAATGAGTAAGACAACCACTAACACGGCTGAGCAGCTACTGTTCTACTTGGGTACGCCTGCACAAGAGATATTCTGTGGCTTGGTCACATGCAATCCTGAGCAAAACTGAAGGTGTACTTTTTCTGTGGTAGGCAGAATAGTTTTTGACAAAATGGGACGTGATGGAGGGTGTCTGGAATAAACATTAAAAAATAAAAAAGTTCACGGTCTCAGAGGAAAAAAGAGAGCAGACCCTTTCAGACAGGCAGAACTGATGAAGCACATTGCTTTTTCAGACTCATAAAATGTGGTAACTGGCCAGTTGGCTACCTCATCCGTGGAGAAGGGGCCAAATTGCTTCTTCCTTTCTTTCAGTGAAGGTGCAAACCTGAGTCTGCTCCCCTGCCCTTCTGCCAGATTTATTTGCTATGGAACCTGAAGGAAACGGATACGGGTTTGATCTGTCGCACATGGTGGTAAATCGGCAGGTTTACAAGCTATTGATTGACAGAGGGAATAATTTTGCGTGTTGTTTCCTTAAACTCTATGACCTTAAAAACAGCCTAGATGCTATTGAAGGAGTTATTAGTGATTGAAAGAGTGGTTCTAGTCAACCAAGCAGTTTTTCTTTCATCATAGAGCATGTAATAAATTTAATACCTTTTCTGGCACAAATTAGTGACTGACTGTAAGAGCACTGAAGATAAACATCTGGCTTACAGTGTACAAGTGGTTATAAATTTCCAGTTCTAAAAGAGCAGTCCTTGATCAAAGTAGCATGGTTGTAGGGCACACTGATTAGAAGCTCAAACATTAATTATAGCCAAGGATCAAGCATACCTCTTATCTACACTTAAATAAAATGTAATAAAGAAGCAAAGATTTGTCTTAAGGCCAAAGTGTCCTGAATTGCTACCGACAAAGCACGAAGGTTTATAGCGCTGAGACATTTCAGTAATTCATCTGGCATTTGTGCTGCTCTAAATGTAAGCCCTGCTTATTTGGGAATAGTACAAGAATAAAGGCTTATCTGAAATGAGTAGACAGCATAGGCAACCACATTTTAGATAACTTGCGCAAGTGGGTATAACCCACAGTAAGGAGAAGGAGGAGGAGGTCTGGCTTTCCTGGTAGAGTAAAGGTGGGTTCTCGGTGGGCAGGCAGCCTGGGAGTCACTGCTCCACCAGCTGCTGTGATTGAAGTGCTGAGCCTTATACAACACCACGAGATATAAGAGCAGTCATATCACAAACTCGTATCTGCCCTTAAGTAAAAGTTGGTTTTCAGTTCGTAATCTCTGATCTGGCCACTACTAGTTAAAGAATTTATTTCCATAAAAGACTGAAGAAATTAAAACACCTCAGAGACTGAGCAGTGGGGTAGAAGGGAAAGATCCAGGTTTGTGCCTTCTCTGATGGAAAGATGGATGAGCAGTGGTGATCTGAGTCATTCAGCTTTAATATTGTGTGTCAGGAAACAATGGAATAAGATACTACACTTAAGGCAACACTTCTAAAAAGTGGCAAAACCACAATATGACTAGCCTGTGCAACTCATCAGCACAGTTTACCACAGCCCATTACTGAGGATTTGGAAGGATTAGATATGTGAAATGCTAGAAATGATAGTTTCTCCATTAGAATGAAAATAAACATATGGTTTAAAGTTTCCAGGCTCACAGATGTCCCAGGCCTTCAGCTGGGACGGTTCAATAGTGGCAGAATTTTCCAAAAACTGTTCCCTAAGTTGCCTTGCATTTTTATATGAAGCACCTTAGACCAGAATCTGTCAGGACTAATATACCACATCAGATGAAATGAACTAGTGCAATGAAAACATTTATATTTAATATAAACTCATCTCCAGCCATTGGTAATCAAGGCTTGATCCAAAAAAAGCCTCCTCAAGCCCCTAAAGAATAAGATTAATCCTTGGGATGGTGGAGTCTTTCACGAGATTATTTGTACAGATGTGTGTAAGTCCCATGCAAAAGATTAAGAAATACATAGAAATTCAGCTCTAACATAAGTTAACTGATGCAGCCAAAGGCAATTGCAGTAACTGCAAGGTTTCTTATTTTCCTCTGTTCCACCATCCTCCCAAGCCTGCAACTATGCCATTGCCCTATATGTGAGACTCTACCCTTCTTCACTTATTCCTTCTGCTTTTGTTACTGACCAAACTGGGCCTGGTGTTTGAGAAAAGATGCTACACTCAATAATCAACATTTCCTTGCCTTGTGGGGTTTAGTTTACAGCTTCAAGATACAATTGGGAGCTGTGTTCATGCAATCTGTCAAGAGCGCAAAGAGAGGAAATGCTAGGATCAGGCCCACACCCCGTTTTCAGCTTCTTCAACAAAAGAGGAAAAGTTAAAAAAAAAAAAAAAAAAAAAAAAAAAAAAAAAAAAAAACAAACCCCAAGCCCCAAACAACAAAACCTTTTTTTTTTTTAAAAAAAAAGTATTAAAATAAGGCATCGCTGTACTCTAAATGTTCTGCTTTCATACACTTGAATGGTCAAGTCAAACACGCTGAAGTCATCACTGTCTGAAAAATCAGGTTTCACAGAGAAAATACTGATCACGCTTTTAAAAATGCATTTCTCATTTGGCTAACTAGTCATTGCTTGGACTTGAACTCACAAGACTTTTCAGCTGAGCCCCGTTGCTCTGTGCTAGTCAGCCTGAGCTCTGCAACTGCGGCTACGGCCTCGTGCAGCTCATTGCCGAGACAGAGGTCTGAGGTTACTGGCATCGCTAACTGCAGGCTTGTAGTACTCGTGTCAGAGATTTTTGCCTGCTGCCTTCCTCAAACCCTTCCTGGCAGGTTCAGGCAGGGACAAAGCTGCGAACATGTTGGAGGTTGTCACTGCTCCATGCCTCGTGCTTCTGTAATGCTGCCCAAGATGCCCCGAGTGAGAACTAGCCATTGACTGCTGCCAAAAGGCTTTTAGTTGCCGTGGTCTTCATTGCATGCTACTAACAACTAGCAAAGGGCCGTGGCAGGGGCCGAGCATGCCTTTGGGATGCTTCCACAGCAAAAGCAGCAAAGCATTCAAACAAGTGTTTCGTTGTGTCTCACAATTAAGCAGACAAGATTGCGTCATCGCTGCTGTAAATACCTTAGCGTGCCAAATTGTGCCATTTTGCCTCTCAGACCTCACCCACGTCTGTAAAAAAAAGGGGCAAGTGTGAGCGGCTTTGTGTTTTAAGTAACCCTTAGGAACTGTGTCCTGGAGCAGAAAGATCCCCTTGAGTCTGAATAGATGTCAGTCCAGTCATGTCCGACTGCGGCCAGCCCGGGTGGAATGCTGAAGAACAGAGTGAGCAGGCCGGGATACGATCCCATTACCCCAGAATAATTTGCCACCAACCTACAGCTCTGGGGCTAGAAGACAGAGAAGTTGACCCCCATGCGTCTTCAGCAGTCCTTCACAGATCTTTCTTCCACAACTGTGGAAGGGCAGACCAGTGTCGTTAGTGACTGCGGCATTCTGTGGGAGCTATGAGTTTCACACCTTCTAGTTCATCAGGTGATGGAAGAGCAGCTGTTTATTTTATGGCAAACTCCCAGACAGCCAAGCCAGGGGCTGCTGACAAAGGGCAGCTTGGAGGGAGAGGAGGGAGATTGATTGCGCCGGTGAAAAGCGATCCTTCCTAACAGCACCTATTGCCAGTCCTGCTTCTTGTCTTTCTCTGGCATCAGCAAAACCAACAAGTTTGAAATCCTCTCTTCATATCCTGTCTCATTTCCAGATGTCTCTGGCATCTGTTTTCTTCATAGGAGAAGCAACGTAGTCTTGGCCCTGCACTTGGAGGCAGCAAAATTCACCTCCTGGCATATGCTGCTGGCAGACAGCAGCGCAGCAGAGCAGGTTGACTCACCCTATTTCAGTTTTCCTCTAAGTGAATCAGATGTCCCTGTCACAGCAGAGCAATGCCCATGAAAAGGGTGGGAGAACAGTGTTGCCACATGTCACTGAGAGCCCTTGACCACCACCACTTAGAGCTGCCCTCTCATTATGCAAAGTGTGGCAACAATAAGACATTTTCAGTACAATTTCAGTGACCAGTCAAATGATTTCAGTGACCAGTCTTATGCTTTTTCATTTGGTTTGGCCTACATGTATTTTGCTTGCCACATTGGCTAATGGAAAACATGACAGTTCTGAAAAAACAATCTTACTCTGAATTTCAGCAAAGACAAGTAAACCTAAGTGCAGCACACAGCACAAAAATGCCACTTGGACTTATTAAGAGGTTTCTTGGTCTCATCTTAAACTGAAGCAGTAAGATGTATATAAGTGTACACTAAAGCGTCTACTGGTTCTTAGCCACATGGTAAAACAACTGTCCAGAACTGGGTGTACCAGTAGACAGTCCTGAGCTGTCACCCTTTGGATTGTGATACTACCAATGGTAAGTTGATTTGAGGAGAAAGAAGTCACATCCAAATTCCTGCTCTGCTGAAAGCTCTATTGGACCATAAGATATTCAAACAGCCTCTGATCTGGCTCAATCAAAAAGCCCTTTTCCCTTTGAGTAAGGGATTTTATCAAACGGCTGTTGTAGGAAAGCTCTTGCTCTCTAGATAAGAAACTCTGAAATAATTTTCATATCGAATACGTTCAATTCTACTTTCTGAGGACTCTAGTACTTTCTCTTTCCCAGACTCATAGAGAATTTTTTGCTTTGCTCCTTTTTCCAGTGTAATTCCACATTTGCGACACTTTTGAAGAAAAGCACAGAGCACATTTTTATTCACAAACACAGGTGTCTGGGGAGGTACGGGATGGTTAGACTGGATGAACTCCAGCATAAACCTTGTGCTTATCTCAGGGACTCTATAGCATTGTAGGAGAGGTGAGTAGGAGGCTAAAATTGTGTTTATTCTTTTTGTTCTCCCATTAGACTCCCAAAGGTTCCTGTTTGGAGTCAGTGAAGATTGCCATTGATACTGGTTACCGCCATATTGACGGTGCCTTTGTCTACTACAATGAGCATGAAGTGGGACAAGCCATCCGGGAGAAGATTGCTGAAGGAAGGATCAAGCGAGAGGACATTTTTTACTGTGGCAAGGTGAGAAGCTGCACTCCAATTTTTTACACTAAATCCAGGATTTGTGTGAATGGGCCTTCTTAATAATGCCGGTGGTCAACATCTGGCATGCTTCCAAACCCAACATCCTCTATTTTTCTTTCCTAGCATTACCATAATGCTGCAGAGCTTCATGAGTGCTAGGTTCACGTTAAACACAGGAATCATTGTTGTTCTCAGTTTAAAGCTCTGTTAGCAATGGGAACCATGCAACATCCATTCTGCCTACTATTGTAAGCACCTGCAAGTTTAGACTGTTGCTACACTCAGCAATGCTGCCTAAGCTGTTACTACTGTCCCATGGGTCATGCTGGCATGCACATTTCTATAGTTACACACTGAGCCCAACCTGGACAATGATCCTGCAAATGAGTTATTTTCTGTTAGAACAATTCCCCGTACAGGTTTGCTGCGAGATTGCATAATGAACGGGGTGGAAGCAAGCACGCGCATGCAAGTGTCTGCGTACAGGAGAACAGCAAGTGCTTACATTGGTACAACTGCCAGAAAATTACTCATCAAGCTACACCCTCGGTTACTGTATCACCTGTCATTAAAATGTTCGAGGATAATGAATCAACTTACTTGGAGAGAAGATGTCATCACACTTCTGCTCTAGAGCAACGAGGCCAGAGTAATGTATGAGCTAGTTAATCCTTTAAAGTCTTAGCCGTAAGAGCTGATTCTCTGCTAGAATAATGAAGTCCCGTGTCCGAAGAAGTGTCTGACAAAAGCTGTTACAACTACAGTAACTACATCCTATGTATAAGAGAGAGCTCATTGCATGTTGCAGAATAAAGATCAGATGGCCCCAGAAATTTCATGGTGCCTGTCCAGTTTCTAATGGCGTTTATGGCCTCAAATTCCCTTTCCTGCGGTGCTTCTTTGGACATCTCAACCTAATATTTTCCCCTTCTCCTTTCCCAAATAAGACGTAATCCTCAAAAGTTACTCAACAGCCTTGGAAATAAATATCACGGTTCCTAGAGTGAAAGATCCCATGGGATAAAAGACCCGTTTTACTGTGAGCAATATAGTTAAGCTCTATGATCTGGGAAACTAAGCTTCGGATTGGGTAGTTTGCAGACCAAGTGGATTTTCAGCAGCTATAGACCAATTTCCAAGTACAGCAATTTCCAATCTGTAAAGTATGCAACTCTTTTCCAAGTTCCCTGCTCAGTTCTACTGGTAACAACCTTGCCATCCTGAGAAAAGATTCACATCCTCAAATTTTCCACCTTTACCAGGGTAGTCTCTCAGTCTCTCATATGCCAAATATGTTGATTTGGATCAGTCAAAATATTTTGTTTCAACTGTTTTATACGTTCGTTACTGCAAATTACCAGTAATATTTCAAATCAAAACCACAAAGTTGTGCCAAAAGGTTAGAACCAGATGTCTTAACAATTTTGAGTCCTCAACTTTCCCAACTGCTTCCCCTGCACATTATTTTCCCATATAAACCTTTAGGTTCTGTGAAAGTGCATCTCTTGGTAAAATTTTATCACGATTCCAAGCTTACTTTATTTATTAAGCCTTTCTGTATTCAGTTGTCCGATCTAATCACTAGATGATTTTCCTAGTTGATGACCACTCCTTAAACATTGAGCCACCTGTGAAACTGCATTTGATTTCTTGATTGTAAGTTCAATTGTTCCCTACACTGCAGATCCTGCAAGCCTCAGGGCTGCGACTCGCAGTACCACGATAGTCAATACCTTTGGTTCCAGCCTGCTTTGTGACAGTGAGATCGGACACAGAAAGATTTTTCTTTCTGTTGTGTCCTGTTTGCGCTTGACAACACTTCAGGTGCTCAAGGTGATAGTGCATTAGAGCATCTCTGTGGTCTTTAAAGAGTTCAAAGGCAGAAGTGGAAAATAATCTGCAACCAATTCAATCTATCATGATCCAGGATTTTCATATGTTTCACTGAATGTTTTAACAGCAGTTCTGAACTTTCCAGGAGGAATGGGACTGGATGTCCCCTGCCTTATGACCTTATGTATCTTCAGCTTTATGTACCTTTCTAACTTTGGTATCTTATGAACTATAAACAAGTATCAAGCCACCAGTAGATACATTGGCCATTGATGGGTAACTGACCAATATGAACTGTTGCACCTTCTGGGAAACATGGAAGATACAGTAGACCAGTCTTGAAAGTTGTCTGCACAACAAAAATTGGTTTTATTTCCAGCCTTACTGACTTCAGAAGTACTAGAAATTCCCAAGACCCTTCGGACACAGGCCCCTCATGCAGATCTTTCCTTAAAGAAAGATGATGCAAATTGAAGGCCAGTCCATGAGCAGGGACTAACAAGAAGAGCCCTGCTGAGTGGCAGTGTTACTGGAATAGTGACTGGTGCAATGGGGCTGCATCTGCCAGTTGAAATCATCAGCACTTGCACTTGGCTCTTGCTGCTGGCTGGCTGACCAGGCAGAGCAGCTCAGCATCCAGAAATTTTAGAGGTTTTATATCAACTGCCAACATCTCGCTTGGCTTATGTAGCAAGACCTTTTTGGTCTCCTCTTTCATCCCAGGATATTTCTTTCATTAAACTAGAAGTAACATTTCCAGGAAATGTGGTGTCCCAAAATGCCAAAGCCAGCTGGCAGCTTTGACTGCTCAAAAGTCTACATGGGTTCTACTTAGGTAGATAATACAATAACTTGTAAAAGTCATGAAAACAGTTATGAAACCCTTAAGTTTCCATGGCATCCATGTATTAACATAGTACAAATGTTTGCTATTTCTAAAGGCTGTTTCTGCAGTTTTTTAAAGGGAAATATGTTCACTGGCAAGTACTGAGCTCAATAGCACTGGGCTAGAAAGGGCACTCGGAAAAACTGCTTCTAAACTATCAACATGCCTCAGGTTACTAAATTTCTAAAACACAGTAACAAAACAAACTAAATGTGAAGACTATACAGACTCATTTCCTTACCTATATTTAAGTCCAAAACAACATCTCATTTTACATATAAAATGCTTAAAAAAACCACCCAGACCAAAGGCTTTCAGGAAATCCAGTGGAACAGCTTAAAACTCTGAGAGCAGGACCTTGGTCCCTTTACTGCAGTACACCTCAGCCTGTGTAACCACCACCTAGTGATCATAAACTCTTCACACCTTGCAATGTACAGCTGGGGATGGCATAGTACGAATTTCCAGGTGCCAACCGCTGCTTTGGTTTGTCAGCTTAGGGCAGGGTTAGATGTTCTGCTCTCAGTGCAACTCAACTTCAAGATAACATGTCCTTGCCGCTGCTGGCAGAACTGAGCAGGTGGTTTTCCCGGGGAATAACTATAATCTGGTTTAAAAAAACCCCAAAAATCTAAAATACTTTAAAACTTACCCAGGCTATGTTCTGTGATACCTATAATCATTATCTTCTCCTGAAAATGACAATTCAAGTGTTTTGTGTCTCAAGAATGAATTCATTCTATATCTTGGCATGCAATGACTACCAGCTTTGCTGACAGAACTGGCTAGACAATGACCATACCAAAACACAGCAGGTTTTTCCAGCCAATAAAGGTGCCAAAAACGTCAATGTGACTCCATATGTCAGTTCTGTCCATTGAAAAAAGAAGATAAAATAGCCCAGCTTATTGTGTGCAAACAAATGGCACTTTAAACCTTCTATTGTGTGTTAATTCTGTTTTGGTTTTTTTTTTTTTAACTGCAGCAATCAGTTAGCAAAGAGATCTTGGTTACTAATTACCATGCTATGGTTTTAGTCTTGCAAGAGATTTGCATCAGCAGAATTCAGTTAGAGATAGTACTGAAAGTTAATCAACTAAGCACACTCCAGAGCAACCTCAGGGCATGACCCGACCCCGAAAAGACAGTTGAAATTAAGGAGGTTGAAAAGGCTGTGCTTTAACTAATCACACCTGTGTTAGAGCAACTAAACAATAGTACATCTTTCAGTGAGGACTGGGGAGTAAATTAAAACTTCCCTAGGTCAGGCAGTCACTCAGGCTCCATGACCACAGGAGAAAACCAAAAGATTGTCTGTGCTGTGTGCTTGGCTGTTCAATAGCTAACTCGCATGATCTGAGCTTCTGCCTTCGAGCATAAGACTGACCACAGATTTCTTGTGGGAACAAAGTTGTCCAGTGAAAGCATATGCTTGGAAAGCTTGGAAAACAAAAGGAATCTGCCTTAGTTCATTGAGCAAGACTTTGCAATATACTCAACTCAGAAGAACCTGTCTTGTAATAAACAAATATGTAATGGCTTAACCGGGTCAGCACTGGGGCAGTCCCAAGCAAGGATTCCTGTCTTAACCTCTTCATCTGCCTCTGGCAGAGGACAGGATAAGGCCCCTCACCTTTGTCTTGCAGTGATGTAGGCCACATTGTCTTTGCTCTGTGCTTTTTTTTTAAGCTGGAGGATGTTCACTGTTCCTCCTGGCATGCAAAAAAGAGACTGTGCTTGCCTCTCCAGCTGTGGAATACCTGCCACCCCCCAGAGCTGGTGCGTCCCACGCTGGAGAAAACCCTGAAGATCCTGCAGCTGGACTACGTTGACCTTTACATCATTGAGCTGCCAATGGCTTTCAAGGTAAAAAGAAAAATTACCCCAAAGAAGTGCATGATTGGCTTGAACCAAGGTCTCCACCTAGCATCTTCCTTGCAGCTTCCAGTCCTTGTTGAAAATAGCACTTTGGCCAGGTAATGTTTGATGTATACTGCATGCGTACATTTCTGTGCACTACCCACATAGGTGGTATGAGAACAGTTACTGACAGCTATAGTATGGGTTCTCTCCATTGGAAGGAGAAGTCTCCTAACTGGGGTTGAACACCTCCTGTGCTGAAGAATTAGTGTACCTGAAGCAGTATCACAGAATCACAGAATTTTCAGAGTTGGAAGGGACCTCTAGAGATCATCTAGTCCAACTCCCCTGCTAAAGCAGGATTGCCCAGAGCACATTACTCAGGACTGCATCCAGGCGGGTTTTGAAAATCTCCAGAGAAGGGGACTCCACAACCTCCCTGGGCAGCCTGTGCCAGTGCTCTGTCACCCTTACTGCAAAGAAGTTTTTCCGTGTATTGGAACGGAACTTCCTATGTTCCAACTTGTGCCCATTGCCCCTCGTCCTGTCACTGGGAACCACCGAGAAGAGTCTGGCTCCGTCCTTCTTCAACCCACCCTTTAGATATTTGTAAGCAATAATAAGGTCTCCCCTCAGCCTTCTCTTCTCCAGGCTAAAGAGTCCCAGCTCTCTCAGCCTTTCCTTATAAGGGAGATGCTCCAATCCCACAACCATCTTGGTTGCCCTTCGCTGGACTTGCTCCCGCGGTTCCCTGTCCCTCTTGAACTGGGGAGCCCAAAACTGGACACAGTATTCCAGTTGTGGCCTCACCAGTGCCGAGTAGAGGGGGAGAATGACCTCCCTTGACCTACTGGCCATACTCTTCCCTATGCAGCCCAGGATTCTATTTTTGGTGACAAGGGTACATACATGTGTCTTCATCCTCTCTGAACCATGAGCTAGTCACCGGAGGAAAGTGGTAATAGAAAGCAGTGAAGGGCTAGGGGCAAAGTTTGAAGGGAGAGAGGGAAAGTGGAAAAAGCCAACAAGTTGATTTCCTTGCTCTGTTCCAAAACCCAAATAGCCTCAGTACTATTAAAGCCGCTGGGCAAATCATGATTATGATCTGAATCCCCTTAACTCCAGTGCTCCTCTCTGACAGCTCCACCAGTTGGTCCCAAACATGGCTTGTCCATCTCTCACTCTCAAAAGTTAAAACCTGATATTCCTTCATACTGTTGGCTCTGGGCAACTTGTAGCCAAAACCTTTGAATGCAAGGAGCTCACATTGCATGCCTCCCTCCCAACAAGCTCTTTCAAGTCCCCAAACTTTCTGGTTTCACAGCCATTTGTACCCTGCTTTACAGTTTTCCTCTGCAGGTACATGATATAAAGGCAAATTAAATAATAGTGAAATTAGAAGAATGAGATTCAAAACGTATTTAACCAATTAAATCCTTTTTCTTAGAGAGCATAGGGTCAGGCAATTAGCTGAGTAATTGTTTCTATGGGAGGTTTAAGCTCTAAACTGGTCTCTTTTTGCAAGAAAGGTAGTTCTCCGATTATTAAAATTATATTTTACTATGGACTCCCAACTGCCAGAAGCATCAGGTAAGAAGCAATTTACCAACAAAGCAATCATCTTAGAGTTGCAGTTCCTTTTTCCCCACAGAAGCCATATGCCATTAAGACCTGTATAGGAGTAACTGCACTCAGATATTAAAACTTTATTTATACGGTCCCATGTATGGAATCCTTTTGGGTACATTTTTAAAAATTTCCCACCACTTGCAATTTCCTGTTTCCCTTTGTTCATGTTTATATTCTCTGGCAGTTCATTCTCCCACATAGCGAAGGTCATTGTCTCACAATATAAAGATATAGACAGCTGGCTTTAAAGTAACATGCATCTGACTCCCTGAGGCCTGTATCAACAATCTGACTTGTTAAAGGAGTAGCAGTCCTGGAGACTCATTCAAGTCCCCCTTGAGAGGAGAGAGGGAAAAAAAAAAAAAAAGTTGCTTTCTGCCTGAAAAATATACATTTTTCTGTGCCAAACAAAAAAAGGACTCCCACCCCACCTTTGCAATGGTGACAGGTTTCCTTTCTTTACTCGCTCTCACAAATATACCCATCCCACACCCCATGCTTGCCTTTGGTGAGGAGTGTGCAGGTGTAACGCCAGCAAACTCCTACTCTGCCCTAGTCTGCAAAAATTGGCGCTTTTCTGTCCTCCCCAAAAGCCTTCTAGAAAAACTAGCCTCTGCTTGGAAATTGGTGAAGAACTTGAGGCAAAGCTTATGGTCCCACTCTGAAACCAGTGAGAAACATGGCCCTGCAGAGCCCAGCAGTGCAAGCTCTCATAGGGACTTGTAGGTAGAGTAAAAGGAATCTGTCTGCAGAGAGCATCACTCAGAGGAGGAAAGCCCCATCACACCAGCACTTTTGGATGGATCAAGAGTGGCTGACATCTGGGGTGACATTATTCACTGACCTACCAACATCAGCCTGCATCTCCCTGTATTTTTCTCTCACACAGATTCCCCGTTCAGGACTTTTGTCCTTCCTCCCTTTAGCCCAGCAGTGGTGCTCAGCCCCTCTACCTTAGCAAGTCAGATGACCAGCAGGAACAGGTCTTCTCCAGGCCACCATGTGCCATCTTTGCCTGGGAGCTCATACCCACTGGCAGGTTTTCTATGGGGCTCTGCTCAGACAACTGATGCATCAGTAAGCAGGTACCTGTGCACTAAATGATCTCCAAATCCCTCCCAACTAAATTATTCTGTGATCTAGCAGGAAAGCAGGTATTTTAGCCTTATATCGAGCAAGTCTCATCCAAATATCTTCTTGTCATTTTAAGAGAATAAATCAAAACAGACCAACAGCCTCACTATTTGACTTCCTATTGCCTTCTGTTTATACAATAGGCATTCACAAGTTGTTAAAATTGCTCTCTTGAGAAAGCCCGCTTGTCAAAGACCATGTTGTGAAAGCGATGGGACATGCAGACCTGTCTTCCTGCATCTGTGTTGGGGAGGAAATTATTATGATGGGAGCAGGGCTTTTCTTCTCAGTGGTTACCAACTGCTGTGTTTTAAATACACAAGTTGTCTGGTAGCTTTTGGAGTGCCTCCAGACTTGGAACATGACATGATACGATGCGATTCCTGCATAACGGCAATGACTGTACAGTATTGTCCCACTTATTTCAGTGCTTGTACGGCAACATGGTAGGATGCCGCCTTACATGCAGCCTAAGGTGCGTGGCTATCTCTAAGACAACTGCGAAAGAAGACAACAGCATTTGTGGGAATTACTGGTGTGGTATAGTCCCTAAGAACTCACAGCTGAGAAACATGACCAACTTCTGAAAGACCTTCTCAAAGACCCAGTAATCACCATCAAAACACTGTCTTTCTCTCAGCACTTTATCCCTCTTTATCCATCTGCAGACAGTTACTCCATTCAGGAACTCCCTTGCATAAAAAGGTAGCTTGGCAGGGAAAGTACTGACTGCATACTATTGAGCAGAGACAACTGTACTCCAACATCTTGTACGGTTCCATGCAGGCTGGAGGGAGGATTAATCCTTGTGGAAATCCACAATCACTTATCTCAGTACAGATAAGTTCATCCTCAAGCACCATTCATCCTGACTTTTTTTGCTTTTTAGAACACAAGTGACAGAAGTAGAGGAAAATGATAACTAATGTAATGGCTGCCTACAGACTACTTTTAAAAAGTAATTTTGAACAAAAGTTAATGAATTAGAAATGGAATAGAATAAAAAGGTCTTGAATTCAGACTCGTTCCCTGAAGTCAAAGAAGTCCAACTGCTATACGTTGAGCCTGGAGAGTCTGCTAGGATATCATGGGGATGAATGGTTTGTTCCAAAATACCATGGGGTGGTTTTGTAAACAGGGCTTCTCCACCTCAAGTTATGATGGCAAGCAATTTGCCTTCTAATAGAAAAATGTACCCAAGATCCACCTACCTCCTTGTAGTCAAGACTTTTTTTTTTTTTTTTCCCCTCCTTCAGCCAGACACAGCAACAAAGGCAGTAAGTTGTCTTTGTGGAATTCATTGCGGAAAACCAGCACATTTGGAGGAGACCGGCTTGTGCCTGTAACTTAGACCTTGGCCTCTGAAATCTGAGGCTGTGTTTTCCTTAGGCTCGCTTTTCCCATGAAATGCCTTGAATTCTAACTTCTTGACTGAATTGGGAGGCACCAGTTACTGATCATATTAGTCACAGCTGCATGTTCCCAAGGAGTTACCATCTCAACATCTTGTACCCAGGCCTTTGAAATGTAGCAGTTTGCAGTCAGATCAAATGTCAAACACCACTGAAGGGTATTTATGAAAAAAAGTGAAATTGCAATCAGACAAAAGGGAGAGAGTTGTTAATGCATTGCCTGCAACAGCAGTGAAATGAGCAGCAAATAAGAAAAAGCTGTGCTTGTGAGACATCAGCTCATAACTCATCTTCGAAGTCTTATTTATGGGGGTACAGAGGTGGGAAGAAAGAGTTCCTAGTACCCAAAGAAAGGTGGATAATGCACTTAGGAGGTTCACAGCCTGCACTACGCATGTAGTCCTTTACTATTAGTAAGTAGCTCTTGGAAACAGTCCCTCCAACTGTTGGGAGCTGGACTGAGCTGGTACTCTTCCCAGATGCCTAGGACACAAGCAGGATCAAGGGAAGGGCTGGAAAGAAAGCAGGGAAGAAGGGGAAGAGAACACAGGCTGGTACTCTAACCCAGCCCTTTGGAAGTAGACTAGTCCTATGGATGGATAACGTAAAGGTCAAAAGTTTATTGAAAAACAAGGCTATGCAGGAACTCCTGAGTGTGCACTCATGTGACAGTTCAGAAGTGTTTCCAAGGATGATCTGGCAGTGGAGGATGTGGTAAGCCCAGCATTAATGACCCGTTGAACTTAGGGTGTTTTTGAATTTTTTTTTTGTTTGCTAGTAGAAGAGTCCGTGGAAAAATCTTTGCTCTGAGGAGTGAAAATTTTTCTTTAAAGCACAAAATTGTGGTTTTACTTTTCAGCCTGGAGATGCAATCTACCCAAAAGATGAAAATGGAAAATTTATCTACCATGAGACAGACTTATGTGCCACTTGGGAGGTAAGCAAACACATCATCCATCCACATATGCTTTAAAAACACAGATCCTCATTGTCAGTTTTACTTGTGGCCCTCATAAACACAGCTGAAGCGTATTGACAGGGCAAATGGATCAAATTCTACTAGCTCCATGGATAAGTTTTACTTCTGTCCCTAAGGATGTTGCTTCTTGCAATCACTTAATTATTTTTATAACAAAATAAATGTTGTTGAAATATCTGACACCCACATTCCTCCTTTCAGAGAGTGCATTCTACATTTGCTAGTTGAGATATCTGTAGGTTTTTACCAATCTCTCCTCTTTATCAGATCCTTACAGCAGGAGAAAGTTGGAGCCCCAGGAAATGTCTGGATCCTCCTCAAAAAAAAAAAAAAGGAAGTTTTTCACCTTCAAGAAAAAGAAAAAACACACAGAACTTGCCCTAAAGCTCACAAAAAAAGACACCGCAAAAAAAACCCCAAACAATAAACCCAAAACAAGTTCACTCACTTCTAAATTTAGTTATCAGATGAGAGTGCAAGCTTTTTCTGTTAAGAAAACTTGGAGGGAAGTAGCATTTGCTTGAAAGATTGCAGCCTAAATTTTTTTGTGATGCACTCTAGTCCTATAGCCAAATGTCTCCTTCTGAAGCCTACTGCCACTTGGCTTCAGAATGTCAGGTGAGGCAGAAAGTGAGATGAGCAATCTCCTCACATTCCTGCCTGTCAAAGCCTTGGACAGCCTTTAACTGATTGCCGAAGCTGATAAGATCTCCTTCTGCACCAGGTCTGCTACCAAAGCATCACTAATTCAGCCCAGTTCACACCAAGAGAGATAATATGGGCTACTACGAGTTCCACTTCAGCTTGCACTGTCCAGAGCTGGATAGTTGTGTCCCAATTTAGCTCTACTTGAGGTGCAGCAGATAAAGATGGGGAATGGGTGAAATTCTGAGTGAAAGTTCAGAGCGAGAGAGCGCCCAGGGCGGGCTTGGGCTTTCCCCTGGCAGCCGAGCCATCCAGGCTGGGTCTCAGGGGGAACGGGGACTTCCACGTTAGCTGTTTATGTTACCCTTGCCTTTGGCTGATGCAGTTCATTCCTCTCTCTCCCATTGCTCAAACGTTGAAAGCAACAGCTGTCCGAACACTGTTATCTTTTTATCTTCAAGCTGGTGCTTATTGTAAAGGATATATTGTAGCAGGCTAAGAAGCCATGAGAAAAATAGGTGGTGGTGAGTGCCTGAAAATAATAGCATCAATCTAAATAAAACTGGCTAAACTCAACCCAGATCATTTCACTCTCTCAGCATGGTGCTAGCAGGCAAAAATGGCTCCAGATGATTATATTTGCTGACTTGTCACAGAGTGATACAAAGCATATGAGGCCAACTAGAGGTCATCAAATACATGGTGCCTCTTACCTCCCTGCTTTCAGCTCCTGTGAGACAGAAAGGAATAACAAAAACAGCAGGAGGGGCATCCAGCTCCACGATGGGGTCTGCTCTGCCTCAAACAGTCACTAAATCATTTGTGTGCAGAGTTTCTGGGAGCAAAGGGGCAGACCATAGGAAAGGACCCTCTTTCCCCTTAACAACCCAGCAGATGAAGCTAATGAAGACCTGGGCACGTATTCATACCCAGTATTGTTAAGGCTTTCTGAGCTATTAGGATTTGTCTGAAGTGCAGAATATTTAGAATTCCTCTCTCTTCCCTTTTATTTCTGCTTTATACTGTATGGAAATTTTCTGTGCTGGTTCTGTGGTGTGCCTTCCAGATATTTGGGGGATTTCACTGGATAGAGACTTCATATGAAAAACTGTCATACAATCAAAAGGAATAAATTGACTTATCAGGAAAGCAATCTGTCTTGTTCGCTCTCCCTTCTCCAGCTTTGAGGCAGTGCTAAAGCAGCATAAAGTAAGCAAAACTCTTTGAAAGCAGATGTCTGGCATTTAAGTATCTATATCTCAGATTAATCTTTTCTGCTCTCCAGACGAACTCTACCCCCACAGGAGGTATAAAACATTAGGGTTTGGTCTGGAAAGCGGGTCTACATGGGAATGGAGTTTAGAATAGCAGGGTGGCACCAGCCCTCAGGCTAACAGAGCTGTTAGTTCTGCTGCAGCAAAGGTTTTTCTGCAGTCTCAAGAATGGACTATCTTCCACCTACCTCTAAAATGCATGCTCCAAGGAATCAAGCCAACATGTGGGACTCCACTCATCTTTGCTTTCTTTGCAGGCTATGGAAGCATGTAAAGATGCAGGCTTGGCAAAGTCTATTGGAGTATCCAATTTCAACCGCAGGCAGCTGGAGATGATCCTGAACAAGCCAGGACTTAAGTATAAACCTGTCAGCAACCAGGTATGACCACAAGCCAAGGGCAGTGCCGTGGGGCCACTGCCCTGTAGGGAACACAGAGGCAACACGTGGCTTAAGCCACTGTGTACAGAAAGGTGACCTATGCTTTGCCACAGATGCTGCCCTCCATACTGTCACACTTCCATTTCTAGCTTGAAAACATTACTTATCCTATTTAGACTAGAGATAAATATTTGAAGATGCTGGAATGATTGCTCTCCTCAGTTCCTGCTCCAAGGCTATAAAACTGGTGCCTCTGTGACAAAGCTCCATAACAAGGTTGAATGCTGAGTCAATGCAGATCTTAAGTCTCTGCCATGTACTTTACTTCAAGTCCAAAAGATTCCCAAGACAAACCATTCAGAGCTAACCGGTCCTCAATGAAGCCGTGTCTACTTTAGCTGACACCAAACCAAAACAACCCTAAGTATCAAGGATCCTGAGTCACTCTAAGCTTCCCAAGTTTAAAAGCCATTAGAAGTAACTGCTAAATTTCCTGTTCTTGCTCTCTTGTGCCTTTACTATAAGATGTCAGTAAGAGTTAGAGAAAAACCTAAATTAAAGAGGACACCCCATTAAGCAACCAACTTGAGCTGAACAAGCCCATGAAGATAACAGGGATGTCCAGGCAAATCGCAGTAGTGGGCCCCAGAGAAGGCGGTAAGTGGCAGCGACCCATTTGAATGCCCATTACCTTTAACTCTGGCAGTTGGCAGCTCACTGCATTTCCTAGAAATCACTGGGAAGCAATTCTGACTCGTCTGGCACAAACAAATATCCACGTTAGCAGTATCAAAGAGGAGGCCAGAGACCAACTGGGACCAACTTCCCACCCTCAGCGCATGGCCAGGAGAGCCAGGATTAACTCAGGGCATGGCAGGTTGGCTGGCCATAGCCTTCATTTCTGTCTTTGGCCTGCAGGGAAAGGCAGCCTGCGAGAAGAGGAAATTCCAGCACCTTTCACTGGTATTAACATGCCCAGCGGGTGCAAAATGCAGTTGCTGTTTCTGGCATGCCCCTAAGAGTGCACTGAGCATTGCTGCTGCTTCCTGGGGGGTCAAGGAAAACCGGGCACAAGATTAAGCCCTGCTTAGGGCAGCCAGCCAGCAAGCATGGATGTGCCAGCTAACTTCAGACTGCCTGCAAACAGTGGTTGCTCTGTCACCTTGTAGACATCCCTTTCCCAGAGACTGAGAACGCAGCCAGAAAATCCCTGCCTGTACGGGAATGCTGCACAGTATTTGCAATGTGGGAGGGCAGAGCTTGTAACAAGGTCATAACCATTATAGACTTGTCTCACCTTTTACATATCCCCCCCCCCCTCCCCTTTCTATCTGGGACAGCTTATGCCAACACTTCCCCCCAAACCAACATCAGATTACTCATCCTGAATGCAAGAGGCAGAGGAACAAAGATCTGACCCACATGAGACGGTTCTCAGCCTACTTCTCTAGTGAGCTTCCCTCCCCTCCAACCCCACCACCACTTATTGCCACCTTTTCACTCGACGCCAATAAAAATTCCCTGCAGCCAAATTATAAACAACCATTGATTGATCTGCTGTCCACCAAAAGAAATACTCTATCACCCAGCAATGTATGGTTAAAACAGTAATCACAGATTGAGTTTCCCTATTCCTTAACTTGCATGTATCCTTTCCTGGAAACACTACCTGTTCTGTAGCTCCCTCAAATATTGGGACACCATCCGCTTCTGTATCTGGTCCTGTTGATTAATCATTCTTTCTATGTTACTCTTCTAGGTTGAATGCCATCCCTATTTCACCCAACCCAAACTCTTAGAATTTTGCAGACAGCATGACATTGTTATTGTTGGGTACAGCCCATTAGGAACCTCAAGGGATGAAACATGGTAAGTCCCCACATTACTTTCTAATAGAAGGACAATATTCAAGAAAAGGATAGTAGTTCTCTACTGATGGGTCTCTGTGCAAAATACCTTTGTCCCCATTTTTCAAATTAGTTTTTAACTTCAGTGTCTAAATATTATTGTTGTGAATGTAAACTTGCAACACTCCTGCTACATGCCGTCATCAAACAATGCCAGGTGTCTGTGTAGGAGTTCACATTATGTCTCCTCTAACAGAAAGAAAGTGTCTGTAACTGGGAATGTTGAGGCTTAGGTGAGGAAGTAGAAACTAAGTAAACGTTAGGACATCACATAGGAAGTTGCCTTTGACAGCCTGCAAACCTAAATAGCAAAGCTTTTCTCCCATCTTTCGCAGTACTTGTCAAAAAAGGTGCAGCATTTTGTCCACAAACAAGTAGATGCCTCTATGTTTTGACATGAAAGATAAGGAAGGTTTTTTTGTTTTCTTTTTTTCCAATTTTCTTCCAGGGTAAATGTGTCCTCCCCTCCTTTACTGAAGGATCCTGTGCTGAATGCCATTGGCAAAAAGTACAACAAGACAGCTGCACAGGTTGCTTTGCGTTTCAGCATCCAGCGAGGGGTGGTGGTCATCCCAAAAAGCTTCAATCCACAACGCATCAGAGAGAATTTCCAGGTAAATTCATACTCCAATGGTGCATAGATGAATCTACTTACACTGGCTTAGCCCCTATAGAAGGTGATTTCCTCATTTTTTTCTGTAGATATAAGGCTTGACCAATGTCAAGCTTTGCCACATTTGATGCTTTTTGTCTCTGTAATTTAATGGTATGATGATATGACAATACTAGAGCAAATTAGAGAGGAAATTTTGGTGTCTTTTAACCCTCTGGAGTAGCTAAAGTTCCAGCTGGTGGTGTATCCCAGAGCACCAGTTGCTGCAGTGAGCAGCACAAGTGGGATGAAGTTATTCAGTAGGTCAGCAGCCCGAGGTTGCTGGCTGTAGGTGTTCAGGAATGACTGACTTGTTCTGCCCAGTCTTCAGGTACGGAGCGGCTTTGTTAGGGAAGGGTTGCTGCATACAAGTGTGCCAGAAACACTCATAACCACACCACCAGAAAGCATCTGGCCTCAACACCACACAAATAAGATGAAGTATTTGTTCCCGTGTCCCTTGCAGTACCCACACTGCTTCCCACTTTCCCTGCCAACATATTGCTTTCAAAGCTGGTGGCCAGCTACAGTGGCAAAGTACTTGCCAGACTGCCTTTCTCTTCTTGCAAAAGAGTGGAAGCAAACGTGACTGGAATTTTTCATGTCCTCAAGACTTTCTGATAAAGGCAAGCAAGTATGGATTTGTTGGGGAAAGGGGGGTTGCACTTCCGAAATCTGGAACATATGAATGTTGATTATGACAAGAAATGCTGATTTATTCCTAACATCTCCTTCCATTAGATCTTTGACTTCTCCCTCACCGAGAAAGAGATGAAAGAAATTGAAGCCCTGAACAAAAACGTTCGTTACGTGGAACTGTTAATGTAAGTACAGGAAGAATCTTAGATCCTCACAGAGCATTCCTATCTTTTCAGAGGATTTAAAAAAAAAAATCACTTCCTTTTAATATTAATTTTTGTATTAACAACCTTATTTTAAGGTAAGGCTTAAGTATGGGAGGTCTTTAATGAATCCTGAATGTGCTCCTGGACCCATTACAAAAAATGTGTGCAATACTTGCTTACACCTCAGATGCCAAAAGCTCACCTAGTAGAAAGTGACTGTATCTAGCCATTCCATCTTTGCTCCATCTCCTGAAATGCTTTTTGCCATATGTTGTAATGACAGTCTCAGCCACTTACAAGGCATAGCGTTGCCCCTGCTTAGCAGTGTGGGTATCAGAGCTGAAATCCAAATAGCAGCACTTTTTTTGTCTTTCTCCTCCTTCCCACATTCACTTCTAGTGCTCAGCAAATCATGTCACTGTTCAAGTACAAAAGCTTATGGATTGTAAACCAGAGGCAACTTGTCCTAAACTGCCATGTGGAAAGCTAAGAACGAAGAACACTGCTACGTGAAACCACAGGGCTAGTTTAGGGAGAGCTCACTCCTTCTTGCTAATACTTTGGTCAGAACATCAAAATTTGCCTACCCAACTTCCTCATAAAAGATGATACATCTTAGTGACCACAAGTGGTTGGAAACTTTGTTTTGGCATTTCCTCTGGTGCTGTCTTCTTCAGCAATCTCCCACTCCTGCTGTCATGATGAGTTGTTCCTTCTTACATGGAAAGCAGAAAGCCACACAGCTTGTTTGACTGCTAGACTGCTTCCTAGTTATCTCTGAGAACTAACAAGGCTTGATCTCTTGCTGCTTGTGGTCTAAAGCTTACCACCCAATGTAGTTTTGCTTCACCTGAAGGCTGCACTACCCCAGAAGTCTCAGACTGACCCAACATCTCCTCTTCCAGAGAACAAGCCCATTTGTTTTTCCTGTCAGCTCAAGAGCATCTACAGTTTATGGCCAAACTTTGAGTACCCTGAAAAAGGGGAAATCATAATGTGTAGCCAAATGCTAGAGATTCATTTCCATGCATTTCTATTTTTACCTTGGATTATCTGTGTCTTGCCAAACTGTAGTGTGCTCAAGCACTAAAAATAATGAAAAGCAGGATGGCAGCATCGATAGCACTCTAAAACGTTGACCATTGCTGAAAAGATGGGGGGAATGTTGCAAAGGAACAAGTAAACCACTTACTGTGCTGCATAAATATGATGGAAAATATGAACTAAGTTAAAAGCATCATAATGGAGTTCATTTTTCATATTTAAACTCAGCCAGGTGCTCTGAAGCTTTAGTTGCCTAAAACTTAAAATAGCCTTTCATCAATTAGCAGCACTTGGTTCCAGAAGGCTTCTCACAAATGGCCTAGCAGATTCATATGTGTGTTTTGGTATTTGAAATTATTTTTTCATATCTAAGTTGAGCTGTAACATCATTTAAACTTTTAGTGATTATATACACAAAACAACCTTGGTGCAAATGCAAGAGTCTTTTCCAGAAATAAAGTTAAAGGATGCAAACGCCCACAGAAGAAGTTTTTAAGCCACCAATCCAAAAACCAATAAACTAAACGCTTTGCTTTATTAGACTAAATTTGGTCACAGGAGGCACTAAGTACAAGGAAAACAGGATGCATAGGATGGACGTTGCCAGCTCTACTTTTCACAGTAGTGCCATATTTGGGGAAAATACTTAAATACAGTCTGACGTCAACTGTGACAAATGTCTTCTCAGAAAAGTGATGTTGCTGTGTAAGAAACAGCTAAACATATATCTGCCTACTATGTGTTCTTACACTGAAGTGTCTGGAATTGACACTGCAACAGATGAGCTACCAGCCTAAAGAAGTTTCTTATTTCATCCAGCAATATGTATCCAAAAAAGTCTTACCATCATACAGAAAGACTTCTGTTTGGTCAACTTTGTGCAAAACCTTGGACTGCTGTGATGCAAATGCCAGCA